TTCTGGGCCTCAGTTTCCCCATCTTTAAAATGGGTGCTGTGAAAGCTAGATGTGATAACGAAGTGCCTAGCGCACTTCTTGGCACGTCCGAGGGCTTCGTAAGTGTCAGCTGTCCCCACCACCACCATCATCGTCATCATCATCATCGGCGTCTACTATATAGCAGGCGCTCTGCACGTTGTGCTGGCTGGGCCGGTCTCAGGATTTCCTACAACCCCCGAGGGCAGAGAGAGAAAATGCACTGTGCAAAGTTTGTTGTGCTTGTTGTTTTGGAGGGAAAAAAACCCTCACTTTGTGTATCAAGTTTGAAGGGGCTCTTCCACCCCCACGGCAGGTCTGGGACCAGAGGAGGTCAGCAATCACAGGCCAGGGTTCCAGTACTTTCCAGTTTCGATATTTCGATTTTACGACTTTTTGTGACATCGTCATTAGCACCATGAATGTTTTCTCATGACGCTACTTTTTTCTTTCTTTAACCAAGTGACATGGACGGCGTTGCCATTTTCTTACGTGATGTCGCTACACTGACGGGTCAAGGTATTTTCCACTGGACACATTTGTGTTTTGATGATGGAGATCAGAGAAAGCAGAATTCACAGACAGAAATCAGCTTGATGGCCGCCTTGGCAGGAATTCATGTGTTCCAGGAAAAACGGCCAGCTCCTGTCATCAGGTATGGCAAGGAGCACGGCCACACCCAGGCTTCACGTGACAGGCGGAGCTCAGCCAGCGAGCGGGTCTCAGGCCCTGGGTGGGGGGTGGGGGGGATCTGAATTGGCAGCAAGAGGCTTCCAATCCCAGCCCCCGTGCCACATGAGCAGCGCCACTCCGCTCTGCTGGCGCTGAAGGACGCCGTAGAAGGATATTTAATGCCACGGGAAATATTTACAGCTAAGTTGGGGGAGAGGAAGATACAATTCAAATGCTTTTTTTTTTTTCTTTTAAGATACGTACATACTTTTTAAAAGTCTGAGGAAGAAATTCACCCAAATAGAAACAGCGCCTCATAATGCAGTCGTGATACTCGAGGTTTTCGAAAACTGCCTTCCTGTGCTTTTCTGTATTTTTCCAAATTTTCAACCCTGAAAAGTACTACTTTTGTGATGAAAATGTTCAAAATCAACTCTGTAGAGGCATACTTTAAAACGAAATCACCCTCATTTTAAGGGCACCATTCAATGAGTGTTGACAAATGTCGTTGCCTTTTACTCAGGACCACAAACAAGGAGAAGAGCATCTCTGTCCGCCCAGAAAGCCTCCTCACAGCCCTTTCCAGGCGATCCCCACCCTCATCTCCCGCCTCAGGCAACCACCACCCACCAGCTTTTTGTCACCATAGATTAGATTTGCCTTTTTCCGAGAGCTGCCGTTCCATTTTAAAATAAATAATAAATGTGGCGAAGAGAGCCCGAGAGTAGCCTTTAAATAAATAACAATTGCTGCCCCATCTATTACACACCTACTTACACCAGGCGGTCTCTATATGAATATTGATGTCTTCATCGATCGATAGACATATCTTTTTTAATTCTCGCATTAACCCTTTCGGAGGTTAAAGGTATTCCTTTTACTGTTTTACAAGTGTGAAAACAGGCTCAGCAAAGCCTTCCTTTTCTGCTCTGACGCGGCCCCTGCCAATTTCTGGCCTGGCAGAGTGCCCTCTTTTTAAAATGATGATTCTAATAGGAGGAAAAAAATGGGTTTTGGTTGAAGCAGAACGCTTTGGGGGAAATGATGCATGTTCTCGCAGATTCGGGCAAAAATATGGGGTTCAGACTCCAGCTGTGCGGCCTGCCCCCCCATCCGAGTCCTCGCAGGCCTTTCTGCCCCAAGCTCAAAATTGCAGTTTTTATTTTCTGATGAAGATTTTTACCAACACCCAGAAGCTTCTGTAATTACAGAGTACTTGGCGACCACGGGGTGGGGGCGGGGGATCTGGGAGGGGCACAGGGGAGAGCCCACAGACCTAAAAAGGCACATTTGACATCGTAACGTAAATTTCTAACCATCCAGCAAAAAAGAAAAACGATTATCTTCATAATGCAAAGACCGGAGGGGAAGCTGAACAAGATTTTCTTAGCTGTTGGGACGGGGGTTCAGAAACAATGACAATCTCTTTATTTGCCACCGTCCGAAGGAGCAACCCGGACAAGCTTGGGATGGAGGAGGGCCACCACAGGAAAAGGGTTTAGGGCAATCAAAAAGACCCCAGCTATCATGAAATCCAGAAGAAAGTCACCTAGCCACACCCTTATGGTCCTCTGGGCCTGAGACCCCAGGGGCCCTATGAGGGTGAGGGGGGCAGCCGGGGTGACCTGCACCCTGCTTGCCCTGCCCGCTCCACTCAGTGAATGAAACCTCACCGGGGCGCGTCAGCTGGCTCAGCCACCTGCGTTAAACCGAATGCGACCTCTAAAATCAAACTGAGTGCAGCCCAGCACAGTGGGGGCTGCAGGGGTGGGGGCTGCGCCGAACCACCGCCTCCGAGGAGCCATCGCCTGCGGCCCCGGGAGAGCCTCACCGCTGACCGCAGCGCCCCCTGCTGGCCAGCGCCGCCGGTCCTCTGTCCCTCGGCTCCCTCCAACCACAGACCAGGGTGACCAGCAAACTGCCCAGGCTGGGTGCCCAGCCCACCTGGGTGCAAACCCTTGCCGGCTGTCTGGCCAACTCTGTAAGTCTCATTTCCTACCACGGAGCACGGATTAATCACCTGAACTCTCGGAGCATGGCTGTGACTATGAAATGCCTGGTACCCAGCCGACTCAGTGGATGGCCATCATTCTTCATCAACTACCTCCTGGGCACTTTATGTCCACTGCCCCATATGACACCGGGACAAGGCTACAAGCAGGCATGAGGAGGCAACAGGTCCAGCAGGTTGGTGGCCTGCCCTGGGAGTGCCTGGGCGTGGATCTGTACGGCAGAGGGTCTGACCTTGGAGCCAGAGCCCCTGCTAGGAGGCCACATGACCTCCCAAGATGCAGCATGACCTTGAATGACAAGCCCGATGGCCTAGGGTTCAAATTCCAGGTCCACCACTTACAGGCTGGGTCCTGCTTTTCTGGAGCCCCGTTTCCCATCTGTTGACTGATGGGGGTACGGAATACCATGGGGGTTCTGGTGGGAGTTAAGTGGGGAACACTCATAATGAGCTAAGAACGTGGCCTGGGCATAGGGAGCCGTGCCATTGGCACAGTCTTCCTGAGCTGCCTGACCACAGCGGCCACTCTCTTTTCCCAATAAGGCCCTAGGAGGGGCAGCAGAGGGGTAGCATGGAGTCAGAAGCTGTCACGTCCCCCCGTCCTCCAGCCCAACTCAGGGCATCACCCCCCCGGTGCAGCTATCCTCCTCGGCTCCTGGCATTTATCGAGAATCTTTAAAGCAAAAGCTGGAGGGGAGGGTAATTAAGTTTAATAGGAGCCGCTGTCGATTTAAAACCACAGGGGATAAGTAATTAGATTTAACAGAAGCCAAGGCTTTCTGAACCAAGACGCGCAGCGTGGGGGTCCCTGGTCTATAAAGCCTTTGAGATGATGTCTTTTTGTAAAGGCTTTCCTGGTGACATTTTCTGCACGCTCCATCATTAACGCCAGTCACTGACTGTGGCATGAACGTGGCCTTTGCTCATTGAAATTCATTAGGGCTGGCACTGCTTTCTCTCCCTGTGTCCCCACTGTTTGCCCTCCCATCGCCTTTTCGCTGAGCCAGTATGGCTTGTCCCCAAAACCAGCCCTCCTGGGGCCCAAACCCAGGAACTGGGGGGCGGGGGGGGGAGCGGTTGGAGGAATAATGAGAAAGAATCAGTGTTGAGCCAAAGTCCCCTAGAAGGACCCTTCCCTTTTCCACCAGGGCATTCTCTGCACGCTATTTCCTTTTTCCGAGCATTGTAGAGAAGGTCTCTGGCTTGCACGAACCGCTTCACTGAACGGCCCCCATTTCCCCACCTGATGCCTGCCCCCGACTCCAGCCTCGCCCATCTCTGCTCCTCTGCCCCCTCTACACCAGGGACCACCTCTGGACCCCGCCGCTCCGCACGCCATCCCCCCACCCCACCGCAGACTGCGCGCCCCGGCACCGGACAGCGCTCAGGGACCCAAGGACGAGACCAACGACAAAAGGCACCTCAAAAACAGAGGGGCCTCCCTGCGCCGCGCGCCCGGGCCTGCGCTGGGAAGTCAGAGCTCCCCAAACCGCAGCTTGCATGCCCACCCTGCCCCCGAAAGGCGCCTTGACAACGGCCGCCCTTCCAGGCTGCATCTCCGGGGAGCGCGGCGGGCCGGGGCCGAGGCAGAACCGGGAGGAGGCGCGGCCGGAGCCGCCAAGAGGCCGAAACCCGGGCTGAAGCGCCACCTAGCGCCGGCCCGCGCGCGCCGCCCCATTGTTCTTCCGAGGGCGGAGATCGGGCCCGGCCCCCGTCGGGGGCCAATTTACGGGGGTAAAAGGGGCGGGGCGGGCGGGGGACAGGGATCGCGAGACCATAAAGCTGGGAGAACTTGAGAGGTCCCTGAACTGCACGGCCATTCTCGTGGGCGGCTTTATGTCTGGGGATCTGAGGGTTGGGACCTTCTCGGGAGGCAGTGGCTGTGGGCTTTTAAGGGGAGAGGGCCCCAAAGCCGAGGCGACGCTTTTCCGGACAGGGGGCGACCGACGCACAGCTCAGTGCCCTCCCCCCCCCCAATCTCTGGTCCCGGAGTTCCAGCCCCCGCCTCCTCCGCCCCCCGCCCCCCCACCCCCCGCTAGCGCCCCGCCACCAGCGCGTTCCCTGGGGAGCCGTGGCCTGGGGGCGGGGCTCCGGTTGTCTATTTTATTGCTTTATAAAATCAAACTCGCCTAGCCAAGAGCGACCGGGCCGCCGGCCCCGCTACCGAGCCGCGGGGAGGAGCTCCCCCGAACCCTCCCGCTAATCGGGGCCTCCTCCTCCTCCCCCAGATCCGGGCAGCCTGGGCGGGGTCACCCGGGCGGGGCCCGGGGAGGGGGCTGGGGCTGGAGGCGGGGTGTGAGTGGGTGTGTGCGGGGGGCGGAAGGCTGATGCAATCTTGATAAGAAATGCTCCGGTGTCGCGGGCACCCACCCGCCGGATAAGACGCGCTATATAAGGCCGCCAGCCTCGAGCCGCCGCGCCGTCGGAGAGGGAGCGCTGCGCGCCCAGAGCGCACGGCTGGCTCGAGCGCCGCGGCCAACTTATCTCGGCACACTCGGCCTCGCAGCCCGTCCCAGCTGCCGCCCAGCCTCCCGCACCCCCGCCGGCCGAACTACGCGTCCTGAGCCCGAGGGAAGTGCCATGCGGAGCGCACCGAGCCAGTGCGCCGTGGCCTGCGCCCTAGTCCTGGCCGGCCTCTGGCTGGCCGCGGCCGGGCGCCCCCTAGCCTTGTCCGACGCTGGGCCGCACGTGCACTACGGCTGGGGCGAGCCGATCCGCCTGCGGCACCTGTACACCGCCGGCCCCCACGGCCTCTCCAGCTGCTTCCTGCGCATCCGCGCCGATGGCGCCGTGGACTGCGCGCGGGGCCAGAGCGCGCACAGTGAGTGTCCGTCGGGCCCCCCACCCGTCCCAGAGCCCCTTCTTCCTTTTACCTCCTTCGGCTCCCGCGGCTCCCCACTCACGGGAACCCCAGGTCTTGGCACCGCGGCGTTTCACTCCCTCCCCGGGCCCCTAAACAGCGCGAGGAGTAGGGGAGGGGGCACAGGCCCGTGCACCGACCGCACCCACGTGTTGTGGGCCCCGAGGGTCCTGGCTGCAGCTTTTTGTTTCCCTTCCTCCCAGGTTTGGTGGAGATCAGAGCAGTCGCTCTGCGCACCGTGGCCATCAAGGGCGTGCACAGCGTCCGGTACCTCTGCATGGGCGCCGACGGCAGGATGCAAGGGCTGGTAGGTGCCAGCAGCGGGCTGAACGCGCTGGGGCGCGGGACCTACAGCTGTCCCGGGGGCGGGGGCCTGCCGGGGAGAGGGCGCGCTGGATGGGATCCAGGGTTTCCTCGCTTCCCCCGCCGGGGCCCGCATGGAGCTCTAAGGAAAGCCCTTCAAGGGCTGGATTGAGCCCACGTCCGACTTTTTCCTACGGAAGTTTGTGGCCCCGGCCAGTAGCGGAGAAGGGGTGAGAACCGGCTTTGCATTTCCAGTTGAGCCAAAGGCCGGCCCAGTCGGACGGAGGAAACCCATGACTCCACTCTCTTTGATATGAAACAGGAAAACCCACCTCGGGCCTTTGCAGCCTTCGCCTGCGCGTGTGTGGTCCTCGCCTCCGTTTCCCTCCCCGCGGTATTAAAAAAAAAAAGAAAGAAAGAAAGAAAAAGGGTATATTCACAACTTGGATTTTTTTTAAGTCAATATTCAAGTAAACCAGAAAAAAAAATCACATTTGGGATTGGGGAGTTTTTAAATTAATTTTTATCTGCCAGAAAAGCATGCAGACGCGCTAGAATATTCCGGTGGTGGCTTGTCCTGCTGTCGGGCTCACCTCACCTGTAGTGTGCATGCTTTTTGTTGGTGGGCCGGGGCCGGGGCGGGCTGGGAAAGCCCAGGTAACCACCGAGGTCTTGGGGGCAGGAAGTGAGCGCAGGCTGGGTCGCCTGGAACAAAGGGCTGGGAGTTCAAAGGGAGCCCGCGCCCCCGGGCGGGCAGAGGAGCTGTGTGAGGTCCGGGCCAGGCTCTGGGCTTCAATGCAGCCCCGCTGGGCCTAGGGCCCCCATAGTGGTGGGGGGGCGTGTGCAGCTCGCGCCTCGCGGATGCTCCCCACCCCCCAGAAGCTGAAGATGCCCGGCCTTCCCCCGCAGCGCCAGTCTTTTTAGTGTCTCCAAATTGTTTTGCGGCTCTGACGCCCATTTATTCCATTTATCCAGAGGGCCTGTTTCAGATTTGAGGGCGGAGTCCTGCGTGAAAGAACAAGAATGGAGGGAAGGGGGGTGGGCGGCTGGCTGAAAGCTGCCACCCACCCACCGCTGCAAACCCGCAGTTGCAATTTTGTCATTGTGACATTTTGGGGTGGGGGGGGGCCGCACGCTAATGGAGAAGGGCCCCAGGGGCTGATGGCTCTAACCCACCATTGTCCCAGTACCATTGGGGCGGGGCATCTCTTCGCTTGAATCCTGTTCTGCTGCTTGATCTCCGCCGCATGGCTTTGCAAGAATTGAGACTGTTCTTTTTTTTAAGGTATGCTTTTTTGGTGAGGAAGATTGGCCCTGAGCTGACATCTGTTGCCAATCCTCTTTTTTTTTTTCCCCCCAAAGCCCCCCAGTACATAGTTTATCCCAGTTGTAGGTCCTTCTTGTCCTAATACGTGGGATGCCGCCCCAGCATGGCTTGATGAGGCGTGTGTAGGTCCGCACCCAGGATCCCAACCGGGGAACCCAGAGCCCCTGAAGCAGAGCCCCGAACTTAACCACTATGCCACCCAGGTGGCCCCAAGAATTATTTTTTTCAAACAGAAATTCCACAAGAAGCTCGAAATCATTTCATTGTCTGTATGGAGACGAGAATGAGATGCTAATTTCTCCCGCAGAGCACCGTTTGGTCTTCCTTCCCTTGTTTGTTCTGCCTTCCCTTGTTTGTTTATCGCTTTGTACCCTGCAGCTCCCCGTCTGGTGGCTTCATCCCCGGGCAAGAGCCCGGTTGTTGCTTCACTGGAGGCGTGCCTTATCAGCGCCTTATCAGCAGAGCGCTCACCCACCTGCAGTTCAGCGACCTTTGTAGGCTGGGGCAGAGGCGAGACTCAGTCCTCCCTGGGCTGTTTACCTCCCAGCCCTTGCGGTGGCGTCCACCTTAGGCTGTCTGTGTCCTCAAGGTAATGACATTCTAGCCTGGGACAGGACTTGCCCACTGGCACCCTCTCAGGCAGGAATGTTCTGGGACCAGGACTGGCTTTCCTCCTTGAGCGTGCATTTCCGGCCCCCCGCTGGGTGCAGGCTCCCGGCCCGGCCAGGCGAGGGAGGGGGCTGCATTTATCTCCAAGGTCCTGGCCAGCTGCCTGGAAGGCGCCCAGCGACTGAGTGAGGGAGCAGACGGAAAGGCCTCGGAATCGCTCACAGTCATGTCTAAACGGGGAGTCGATGCCGCAGTCTGGACCCCAGACTGGATTACGCCTAATTCTTAATTAATTAAAAGAAGGATCGTAAAAGGATAACATAGTGTAGCAGTGTTTCCCAAAGTGCCCTCGGAGAGCTAAGGACTATGGAAGGTGGGCAGTGACTTCTGGACCTCGAAGCGGGGGTAGGCACGGATGGGCATTTTATGGCTGTTATCACTTCGAACAGGCCTAAGTTTAGAGTGACATGATTTAGTGAAAACTACTAAGGATCCATGTAAAGCCTTTATAGATGTTGAGAATGTGCATGAAATGTGCATGTGAAATACACGTATATACCTGGAGTATTTGTGTCTGTACAAGAGTATAAAGCCTGAAGGTGCATAAAGTACAGCTATTCATATATATAAATTTATATATAAACTATATCTAGCGAGTATACATGTTTAATGTTATATATTTATATTGTATGTTAATATATATGCTCAAGGTGTATATTAATATAACAATACATGCTTTATATATAACATACGTGTATCGAGTTGTACTGTCTATACAAAGTATCTAAATACACGGTGCTTGACACGCCTTCGCACTCTGTAACCGTGCACCGTGCCCTGCGCACCGGTGTGAGGCGCACAGACCCCGGGCACGGGCGCTCACGCTCACGGCTGCCGCTTGTCTCCGCAGCCCCAGTACTCGGCCGAGGACTGCGCCTTCGAGGAGGAGATGCGGCCCGACGGCTACACCGTGTACCACTCCCGGAAGCACCACCTCCCGGTCTCCCTGAGCAGCGCCAAGCAGAGGCAGCTGCTGAAGGGCAAGGGGCTCCTGCCGCTGTCCCACTTCCTGCCCATGCTGCCCAGGGGCCCAGCGGAGCCCAGGGAGCTCCAGGACCACGTGGAGCCCGATGTGTTTTCTTCACCCCTGGAGACAGACAGCATGGACCCTTTCGGGATCGCCACCAAAGTGGGACTGGTGAAGAGCCCCAGCTTTCAGAAATAGCTGAGGCTCCGGCCTCCCCTGCTCCCGGGGGCCATGACCCCAGGCCTGTGGGGTTTGCAGAGTATGCTCTGGCCATGCATCTACCAGGACGATCCTGGGTCCATCCGTGTTCTATTTAGTTTTAGGAAGACACATTTAGAACTTGTGCACCATATAGAGTTTTACCTTGGCTGTGCCAGCTTCTAGCAGGTAGATTTGTATGATCACAAAATAGTAAGTCCTCCGCTCACCCACTCACCCACCCCAGTCCCCGACCCCGCAACCTTTGCCGTTCATTGCTGGACAAGTCACTGCGCTGCCCCTGTTCTGCTTGAATACCTCCAGTGATGGGGAACTCACTACCTTTGGGAAAGTCCTTATGCCAAGCTGAAATTCTCTGCAGTTCTCTCCTGTCGTTTTCAGCAGGGGCAGCCGGAAGGAAAGTGGTCGTTTTAAACTTACGTACCAGCCATAAGGCAATGCACCTACATCCACCCACCCCCTTCTGGCAGCCGGTGCCCAGGCTCAGGCTGGCTGCCCGACGGTGACTGGCCATGCTGCCACCCGCTCAGAGGAACACGACGTGAAGGCAGCCAGCCCCTCCTAGCCATGGTGACTCAGTTTCCAGGGCATCGGATCTGCCCCGGTCACGTGGATCTCACGTGAGGCCGTTGCGATGGAAGCCCACTGGCCTGCACCCCATCCTGGGTCTGCCTCTCACGCTGTGGCTCGGCTTCCCCTCTCTGAAGCGCTGTGGGTGTTGATCTGAAAAAGCAGACGCTCTCTTCCAGCAGCGGCCTCCCGTTTCCCCAGCCCTTTGCCCCTGGCACCAAGTCATTCTGTGCATGGGGACCTGGCCGCCTCCCTGCTTAGGGAAACCCGCACGTTACAGTCAAAGGCGGGGGGAAGGAAGCTTTGAGAGCCCCGAATCTTGCCAGTGGCTCGTGGGCAGAGCCCAGGAGACGAGGCCTCCCCCAGCGCTTCCATTCCAACGTGCTATTTATGCGTAATTTATTTTGTTTGATATGTACATCGCTTTATTTTCTTACTTTATTTATACCCCCGAATTGTATTTATGTATACATGAGTTTTGTTTTCTACATTAAAGCGGCATTGTTTGTATCAATAGTTGTGTTCTGTTATCTGGCTGGAAGGTCTGAGCGGGAGGGCCGGTGGCCCGGCGGGCCGGGAAGGGGACGGTGGCGCTGTGCACAGGACACCCTCTCTGTTTTTTCCACATCCCACACTCTGCATTTTCTACCATAAGCTCTGTCCCCTGCAACAGCCCTCCAGGCCGACTGGGTGGTTAAACAGTAGGTTTAGGTTCAGGGGCTGGTGGAGGGGACTGGTTTGGACCCGGCTGAGCTTCCTCGAGCCGCCTCTGCTGGCAGACTAACTGGTTAGGGCGGCCACCACCTCAGGACTGTTTTCATCGCAGGCAACAGAGACCCTAAGCAGCAGTGGCCTGAATCCAGGTGCCTCCCCTTCTGCCTCCTGAGCTTGGGGCCACATGATCCTTTGTTAGGGGCGGGTGTTCTGAGCATTCTGGGATGTTAGCATCCCTGGCCTCTAGCAGCAACCAAAAACGCCTCCAGAAGTTAATGCATGTCCCTGGAGGGCAAAATCCCGCCAATGACCAGACAGGGTTTCTTTTTGTCCAGTCACAAGCCCAGAGGTGGCACGTTTGTTCATAGCCCAGCAATGCCCAGGTTGTATTCTCTTGATCGTCTCGGCGTCTCCATCAAGCTGTGGCTTCGTGGTCTCAGTGTGGCTGCTGTGCTCCATCCAGAGAGAAGGAATCCTCGCCACCCTGGCCTCTCATCTGGAAAGCCGAAGTTTCCGTAGAAGCTGCCAGCAGATTCCAGTGACATTCTATGAGCCAGGACTGGGCAGAGAGCCATCCCCAGCTCAAGGCGGGCTGGGAAAGCAAGTGGGAAGTGGGGCACGTGGACCCTCTGATCGCGTGGGGGCTCTCTTAGCAAGGAGGAAGCAGGGGAGACTAACAATGTGGACCTGCGTCCTAAAAGCAAGTACACATCCGTGTAACCGCCTGTGGAAATGGGCTTTAAAAGTCGTATTTCTGACTTAGTGGCTGCCAGGGGTGGGGATGGGGAAGGAGGGGTGGGTGTGACCATATGGGGGGTGGGTAGCACAGGGATGCCTTTGTGGCAGTGGGTCCATTGTGCAGCTTAGCTGCGGTGGCAGATGCCTTGAACCCGACACATGTGATACAGGCACAGAGCCCCACACGCACATGGGACTGACATCAATCCTCTGGTTTTTGTTTTTTTTTAAAGATTGGCACCTGAGCTAACATCTGTTGCCAATCTTGGGTTTTTTTTTTTCTTCTCCCCAAAGCTCCCCCCAACCCGCCCCAGTACACAGTTGTGTATTTTCAGTTGTGGATCCTTCTAGTTGTGGCATGTGGGACGCCGCCTCAGCGTGGCCTGATGAGCGGTGCCATGTCCGTGCCCAGGATTTAAACCAGTGAAATCCCGGGCCCCCGAGGCCACGGGGCCGCCCCCGATCCTCTGGTTTCAATATCGTGTGCCAGTGACTTAAGACGTAACCATCGGGGGAAGCTGGGCGAAGCACAAGATGTCTCTGTCCTGTCTTTGCAACATCTTGTGAATCTATAATGGTTTCAAAATGAAAAATAGAAAAAAAACAAAAACCGTTCTCTGACAGCGTAAAAACCACAAATGTCGGCTCCTCAAGCCGTCCAGGCTGCCAGCGTGGTGTGGCTGAGTGCAAAGGCGACAGACCGCCCCGGGCGCTCGGCAGATCCCCTCTTATTAGCTGTTTGTTCTGGAGCAAATCAGACACTCAATCTGAGCCACGATCGGATCACCTCCTCTGTGAAATGGGATGAGGAGAGAGACAATGACCGGAGCACAGGATGGACGGCGCCCGGTGTTCACTCACTCAGCAGGGAGTCACTGGGCTCTTCTGTCGGCTGTTACTATGACTAAATGATTGTTGATGTCCACAAAGGCCATTTCACCAGGCGCCTCCCACCCCCAGGCAAGGGTCCCTGCTCCCTAAACCATCATTTACACTAATGACAGGCCCAGGACACCCAGAGTTGACCCCCCCACCATTTGCCAGTCAAGATGCCACCTCCCTCTTTGATGCCCCCACCGTGTGACAATGCTAATTTGGGACCTGGGAGGGCAGCACGGGATGTCGCATGCTGATACAGCATCTTCTATCCCTTTTTCTACAGGTGAAGGAGTACAGGACCAGAGAAGGGAAGGCACTCATCCAAAGTTGCACAGCCGGGAGGGAGCATGGCGCAGGGGCTGTGGGGTCGACCTGGCAATGAATCCTACTGTGTCACCTTGAGAAAGTCACGTCACCCCTCCGAGCCTGCATTGTGGTGCAGACGGTGAGACTGACAATGTCTGCATTGTGGGACTGTTGGAAGAATCGAATGGAATTAAGTCTGCAGATGCCCGGGACGGACTGGGCTGCCATTAGTGAGACTAGAAAGCAGTTTACATTGGACCCTTTGTGCTCTGGAGACAAACACTTCAGAGGAAAATGAAGCACTTCTCTCTGAGTCTCCTCCCTGCAGTACACCTGACAATGACGAGTAAATGCACAACTCTGTAGACTAATTCATACCAAAGTGTTGATGGTTAATATATTTTTTCTCTAGGTCCCATTTTCACTTGACTGGGCAGCCAAAAAGTCGTGATGACTGTGTCTGTGGATGATGTGGACACTCTGGGAGAAGATGGGGTAGATTATTTTTCGAGGCTGAATCTTAGCACCCACCCCCCCACCCTGTCTCTGCTCCTCATAGGAAGGTGGCCTTGCCCTTTTGCTGCCTCTCCCTTCCCTGGCTTGGATGGTGCTGTCAAATTTAGCAAATAAAAACACAGCATGCCCAGGTGAATGTGAATTTCAGAGAAGCAGTGAATTTTTTTAGTGTAAGTATGTCCCATGCAATATTTGAGACATACTTATACTCAAAAACGATTCCCTGTTCACCTGGGATTCAGATTTAACTGGATGTTCTATATTTAATCCAGCAGCCCTAGCTTTCAGATTCCCGCCCCTGACATGGGGTTAAATAATGAGGGAGGCCCAGGGGCAGAATGTGGCTCAGTTGCACAAGGCTGTCCAGGAGTCAGAGCCCAGAGGCAGAATTCGACAGATGCCAGGGGCGGGGCGGCCTTAGGAGAATCCCACCTTTCTTTGGGCCCTTTCTGGGGCTGTGAGGGGAGACCGCTTACATTCCTTCAGGGCTCTCTCGCCTGGGGGGTGGGTCACTTTACCGAAAGGCCAGGTGAGGTCCGGCTTTGGGCACGCTGAGTCTGGGCTGGGACAGCATGGGGCATCGGTGTCCCTCTGGCTCTCAGTTTTTAGGCATCTTCTCCCTTCGTGAGGACAAGATGGTCCCCAGCAGCTCCAGGCTCCCCTCCTCTCCTCGCACACGGATGACAGACAGCTCTCTCTCCCATCGCCAGCTCCAGCGAGAGCCCCAGAATCGGGTTTCCTGAATGAAACCTTATCACTCGCATGTTCATTCCCCCACCAGACCCCGAGGCAGAGCCCGGAGGCTCTGGCTGGCCGGCCCTGGGTCACCTCCTCCAGCCCGGGAAGGAGGCAGCCCTGAGCCCTCAGAGACTGCGGGGAGCAGTGGCTCCCCAGAGGAAAACCCAGAGGGGCGGTACTCCCTCTAAATGCCCATATTCACCAATTCACCATCCAGTGCCGGAGTGGGTGAGCTTGCCTCTTCCGGATCAGGAAATGCCACCTAGAAATGACTCCAAAAGACCTGAAAATATGAGGGGTGGGTGGGTGTAAGGCCACCCTGGACCCAGAAATTGGTTCCATCCAGTCACAGAGGGCAGAACAGCGGCCGCCCTGGGCCGACTCCTCTCCCCAACTACCAAGGTCACCAGAAAGGGGTCTCCATCAGGGGAACGAGGAGAAGAGGTCTGTCTTCTGCACCTGGGGGGAGGGGGTGGGGGTAGAGAGAGAGGGAGAGACAGACAGATAGAGGGGGAGAGAGAGAGAAGAAAGGAGAGAGAGAGAAGAGAGGAAAAAGAGGGAGACGGTGACAGGGACAGAGAGAGAGGGATAGACGAGCAAAAGAGACCGATCGATCTCCACCTTTTTTGTTAAGAATGAAGAGTGGCTGAGAGAATTTTCCCGTCATCGCCCCCGGGTATTTCCTAGAACAGAGGCTCTGCGACACTGAGGCAGCCTTGAACACCCTGAACCTGCTGTACGCCCGCCTGGGACACCCAAGCCGACTCGCCCAGTGCTGGCGGCCGGAGCGTGCGCAGCAGCTCAGCATCCCCGCTCCACAGGACCGCGCGGTCCCCTGCCCGGAGCCCCTTGGCAGCAGGCCCAGGGCGGGGCTCAGTGTCCCTCCCCAGGAGCTGCTTACAGGCTCAGTGATGGAGGGGAACCCGAGGGGAGGAGGGCGCCTTTTGGCCAGACGAATAGGGTTAACTTCATCTGGAGGGCCATGGTGGGCCAGGCGAGGTTTCTGAGCACAGGGGCGCTGCAGGTCCCGGACAGCTCCATCTGCCTTGGGATGCAGAACAGAATGAGGGGGACGTCATCTGGCGTCCAGGCCAGTGATCCCCCCCACTCCGCCAGGCCACGTGGGTAGGGGTGCAGTCTTCATGGCGGTGGGGGGCTCGCGGAGAACCGGGGAAAGCGGGGAGCCTGGTGAGGAGTCCTCACCGGCAGCAGATGCCCCTGGCCCTTTCTGGGCCTCCACTTTCCCACCTGTAAAATGGGGGTCAGACTTGGGTCCTTGCAATCCACGTGAGATACACGACCTTTTCAAAGGGTGTGTGTTTAATTCCACTAACAATGATGCATGAGTTATTCTTGCGGAGAAGCAAATTCTGTGGGCAAAGACGAAGTCCGTCTCTCCGCCCCTCCTAGCCCCTCCCGCCCCCTTCCAGGGGGTGTGTGTGCGCGCCGCTACATACATCGGGGCGCACGCAGAGTCCCCTCCCACTCTCTGCTCTCCCTGCCCTCAGCTCCCACCTCTCTCCCCATCCGGTCTCCCTCCTTCTATGCCAGCGCCTCTGACCTCCAACCTGACCACTCACCCTTAGGGACTTTAGTCCCCTCTGCCTGGAGTGATTGCGCCCCAA